AAAAATGGAAGCTGTGTGAACTCAGTTGTACAATGTACAGCTTGTCCAACCATTTGGAAAACTATATTGTTTAAATATGTTTTATTTATACATTCGTCACATATAACATAGATGAAAAGACAAAATGAAGACAAATGGCAGCTTTACTCTGAGAAACTTGTGAAAGCACAAGGAAAGGATAGATTGGAAAACTGATCAGACTTGTTTTTTTAAATACAGTCTAAGGCCCTGTTTACTTAGAAATATTTGGAATTAGAAATCTACAACTGAAGTGTACAGTGTATCAGTACTGTAGTAAAATTCTAAAAATACTGGGTTTTAAATACCTGCAGAGTAGAGTTAGACTATTGGTTCAAGCAGATGAAAAAAGCAAATGAATGAAAACAAGATGAAACTTTTAACATGCTTGATTTATTGCTCAGAAGTATTTTGAACTTGGCAACAGCGGTTTTTATTACTTGTGTTGGCTTTTGTATAAGTACAAGCACATCTGAACATATCAGGGACTATCCCCATGCATAAATGACAGTAGAATCAGAACTCAACTTTGTGCAATGGCTACGTAGGGAATGGCTGCCACGGACATGGTGGATTCATTACAGAGTTCATTGTAATGATCCCTGGATTACACAGCTCAAACCCAAAAACCTAGCCTAGCAGAGCAATGAGGTTAAGTCATAAACCTGCTCAAAGTAAACGTTTTTCTGTTATCTTTTAAAAGCATATATTTTTATATTTTCTACTAGAAAAATATTGGAAGCTGCAATAGATGTAAGAAACATTCCTGACACTTAAAAAATAGTTTTTCTACTAATATCAGTGAAGACAGAAGTATTTATAACTTTATATAAATAAAATGTATACCAAGGAGTCTTAAAGTAGTTAGTGGATTGCAATTGTTTTATTATGACAAATAAATTCACTTGGACTTTTTGTATAGTGTTGTGCAAAGGAAGCGTTTTGACTTGCACTAACACACTTCTGTCTGAAAATATGTTTTATAATCTCAGTTTACAAAAAAATAAGATTTTGAATAATCACTTTCTCACTGTTTCTGCAGTTTATTTATACACCAACAGGAGAGGTACAAACAGCTAAAACAGCTGGCAAGACACCATCCAAAGACACAGTAAAGAGATACAGAAGCAAATATAATCCATTCAAAAACAATTAGACTGAAATGGTTCCACTGAAAATTAGTGGCAATCTCTTTCACATAGATCTATAAATCTTTGTTTAAATGCATAAATGTGTACAGGGCACAACAAAAAAGTTTTCAGCTGAGGAAAACTGAGGGGTTCTTTGATTAATCAGGGCTGCTGTGAAGCTGTTTTGTGAAGTATACTACCACTTTTTAATTAGAATTGGATGTGCTATTTTTTGCTAACATAAGAGTTGTATTCAAATGCTTTGTTCCCATTTTAATATATCTTAAAGTTTCTCTTCAAGAAATTATTAATAATGTTATTTCGTTACTAACATGTTCAAATAAGGTTTTTATAATGGGTTAATTTGAGAATGTAGATGCATTAATTTCACGTCCCTTTATGATTCAGTTTGTGTTAATATAAAAAAGAAGTCCAAAGAGAAGCAAATAGCAAAGTTAAGACATTTCAGCCTCTTAATGAATCTATAAGCCACTCTTACCTGCTACCACTTGAACTCCATAAGCAAGAGCACTTCATTGATACAGAGGGTGAGAGGGGCAAGGAAGGTTTGGCAGACTGCATGGAGTTAATTTTCTAAACAAAGACGATTACAGTGTACATTTTGGGCAGAGAAGTTTAAGATTTGTTTGTTTTTCCTTCACTGCTAAGTATTTGTAGTCCTCTCTTAGGAGAACAGACACATACAAACATGACAACTGTGCATGTATTGGTGTAGGTAGGTTAGTATAATAAATCTCCCCATCACTTTTTGCTATATTTAGCATAAATGGTATATAAATCCAAAGATAATAAAGTTTTTTCTGAGAAGAAAAACTATAATCTGGACTAAGTCCTTAGCTGATACAGCTGTCTGTGTTGATGCTTCCACTCTTGGGAAGCTTTTGTAGGGGGTTCCAGTTGTCCTTATGCAAATGAAGTACTTCTCATAAATCAAGTTTACTTACTGAAGAGTGAGGAACTATTTACTTTGCTTTCTTTCTCATTGTTTTAAAGGCACTGTCTTGTGACTGGTCAGCAGAGAGCTGCTCAGGAGTCACACCTTTTCTCAGATACCTGTGTTGCCTTCTGCAGGTAGTCAGTGTGGTGGTAGGGAGAGGCAAGACCATAGTTAACAGTAGCTCTTCCAGTAAGAGTTTTGCTAGTTCACAGAATACAAGGGATGGGACTGGGAAACATTATGTTGTGGTTAAGGAGCAATGAAAGAAAAGGCATTGACGCAGAGGCTTATGGAGACCCTGAAAAGATAAAGATGAGGCTGATGAAGAAAACAGTGCTGCCCTTGCGAGAAGAGAAGGGTGGGATGAAGAGAGCACCATTTCTAAGCTATTCCACAGGAAGCAGCAGGCTACTGCACTTTCTCAGGGTGGGCAGGACCACAAAGGTTGCTGTAGCTCTGTGAAGAGTAGATGCTGTTGGCCTGAAGATTTTTTTGTTCTGGTAACAAGATATTTTAAGGAGAGTCTTTAGAGCGCTACAGTTAAATTCTGAAAACACATAGTTTTTCAATAATGCGCACGCACCTGGCAGCTGCAGTAAACTCCGACTTCCTAGACTTTACAAATAGCCTCTAAAATCATGTCTAACGTTTTAGCAAATACAGGATGTACATCCTTATTTTCCTGGAACACTCTGACCTTCTCTTGCAATTCCTGATAAGGAAGTGTAACAGGTCTTCAGTATGCGTATTTATGTGCAATCACTTGCTTTGAAGCCAAATTTTGCCACAAACACTGTGTCCCTCCCTTGAAGGACACACCAAGTGTGACTTGCATCTGAAATTGTGTATGACATTCTCTCGTTAGTCATCAATTCTTCATTCTAAAGCCATAACTTCACCTGTGGCCCTCATTTTTAGAATTAGAATGTTTCCTTCTATAATATTTTCATCCCTGTTCCTGATTCTGAACTTACTGGAGTTGCTACTAACACTGTGGGTTTGGGTTTTTTTTTTCCAACTCGGGAAGCCCCACCCAGGAACAGTAACGGGGGCTACCTCAGATAAAGGCGTTAGGTTTTTTTCATGCCATTTTCTCTCCATGTTCTATAAAATACTGTAATGGTAAGGAAATGTTCCCTGGGTGTTAATGAGGAAGTAATCCTGCCCACATCTTTTGTGGCACCCTGGTCAGTATGTCCACTTGGGAAGATGTCAACAGTTCAAGACTGTGAACTCTGTTTCAAGAGCGTGTGAACTCTTGAAACTCTTCTCTAAAGAGAAGCGAAGACCATCTCAAGTTTCCTGAAAATAGCATTAAAATTACGAAAATACAGGTTAAGAACCTTGCTCTGTTTCTTTCCTAGTTTTGTACTCTAGGGAGGTGGTTCTAGGCTAAAAAGTAGGAGATTAATATAGGTACTTCAGTAATTTTACAGAAGTCAGCAAAACTAGGAACTTCAGGCCTCATCTAGGCAGTCTTTTTTGCTTTAAGGTGGATAAAATACACTCCATCTGTGGTCTCCTAGCAAGATTGTGTCACAGAAGTGAAACTTAGTTGGTATTTGCTGTGATTCTTGCCCAGAACTAATTCTGAGGTTTGATCAGATATATACAAAGAGGGGGAAGGTGTGTGTAGGTGGATGAAGGGTATGGGAGGATAAGGAGGTAAAAGAGAATTAACATATTTTAACCAACTCTAGTCTAAACGTGATTTTTTCTTTCTTTCTTAGTGTAGGCTCAGGTTAAGATGTGTTTAGTTGGAACACAGATGGCTAAAGTTGATGGCTTGGTTTCACTGAGTTTTACTACTTTTGGGTAGACTGAGAGAATTTTAATCTGTGAAGGGAAAAAATTATTGCAGTAGCCAAAATGCATAACCTAATTTTGACCTAAACAGAGGAGTTTTCCAAAGGAAAACAACATCCTGTGTGACTAGGGGCTTGCTCTGTTACGACAATCAGTTGTATGGCCAGGATCTTAGTGCCTGCACAAGTACGTACAAGTAATGTGGCTATAAAATGTACCTCAGCAGTTTGAGCAAATGCAACTAGGGCAGGTTTTGCTATTTTCTTATGCAAGAGTGAAGGCAGGTGGGATGGAGCTCTGAAACAGAACTAGGGTATAGGAAAATCATGCAAGCAGGTATGACAACATGTGATGGAGATAGTAATAGGGACAGCATGTTTTCTTCACCAAAAAACATTTCTATAAATGAAAATAGTAAGCAGAAATAAACATAGTCTTTTCTCTACCAAAGAGCAAGTTGGACAGGATGGAACTGTTACAGAAGTAATTTGTATTTAAGTAACTGCTTATTAAATAGATGAATTACCACATAGCTTCACAGGAGTCATCAGATTTTGACCTTAAAATGTATCTATTACTCTCTGGGATGGAAATGAGAAATAACCAAAAGAAGTAACAACTCATAACAGGGCAGTCAAACAGGACACAGAAACAAGTTCTGCCACTAGGACACCTGCTGTCCTCCACTGATGACAAAGGGAAGTCCGGACACGTATCGGAGGGCAAAAGTCATCATTTACTGTCCAACTCACACAGTGCAAAAATAATTTATAGTTTATTATTCCTGTGAGAAAAGTATTCAGGAACAGATAAACAAATTCATGTTTAGAACCAAAAGTAGCAATTACCCGGTTACACTTAAACCCCATACATACTCTTACACAAGCTTATATACTGTACATTGTCATAATTATGAAGTTGAAAATTTACTAAATACAGAACTATTTGCAATTCTTTTTCCTAGTAGGTAAAATGACAACATATATTGATGGATTTATGGTGCATATATATGAGGATATACATACGCACACCAAGTGTATATATATATTAAAACAGGAGTACATTGCTATACCAGTGCCAGTTGGAGGCTGCTGAAAGGGTCCTGGGTATCTGAGGAGGGTTCACTGTCACTTTGTAGAAGCCGTGCTTTCCCCATCTATTCCCACCTCTACGAGGACAGTGCACTGGAGCACTACCCTGAGACAGCTGTTACTCCATTCTGGAAGCACTGTGCTTTCCAATTATTACACGTGGAAGCAACACAATTTGACAGGTTCTTGTTGGCAGAAATCTTAACAGCTGGCATCCAACCCAGTGACAGGAAGGATCGGGACTAGATCACAAAAAGTTGAAGTATTTTATATTGTTACTGTACACCAGCAAATCCAGGCACTTAACGCTATCAGGATTTTTATTCTCAACTGTTCTAGAACTATGGATGAAACTTATCTTTATTGAAATCAAGAACAAACTTTCCATAGACATCAGTAGGATAGGAGAGCATCTTACATTCTAACGGTAGTGTATTTTAATGAATCCAGAATTTTACATGTTTGGCAAAGTGCGTACTTTCAGATACCATTCAGATATTTATAATAGCGTGACTGAACTTCAGAGTCAACGTATGATAAATTCTCTACAAGATAAAGGCACAATATTTACAGGTACTCTTACCACTGCAGCTTTAAATAAGATAAACTAAATAACTGCTACCATCTTTTAAATTAAACTGTTGAAAATTATAGTAATAATCTTTCATAAAAAAGTAGATATGCTTGTGCGTTTAGTACTCTTGATTCTGGAACCATCTGAACATGGGCATCACTAACATACACCCACTGTCCTCCTGATGCTCCCATGGCTTCTTTTATACCTGAAATGCAAAAGCAAAAAAAAGTGTTTCTTGTCTTTCACTTCATCATCAAACAAATACAGTGGATATTTCAAAAAGCAGGAGAAGCTTCTAACCCACAGGAATAACTCATGACTTAGATGCAGTTCAGTATTTGTAGTTTGAAATTTACATGTCAAAGAGTAAGAGAAACTGGTGGAAGACAATGCTTACAAATGTTCACTGCTATCACTTTTTTCATATTTTTTCAAGAAGCCTAAGACACTGCAAGCTTACTGAGTTCTAACAGTAAGTTATACTAGCACACAACCAGTTCCAATATAGGGAAAAAAAAATCGTATTTCAAAAGCTGACCAGTGTGAAATTAAGAACACAGGAAGATCTAATCTGTTCTAACCATCATTACAAGGGAAGCGTAAGACTGAGGGAGACTTTTGTTTCAAAAATAATATAAAAATTGTCCTTCTGGGAAATTAGCTTCAAATGCCAAGTGGTACTGCACAGGGTAGACAGGATAGTGCTTGGTTCTCACGCCTTCCATGAAGGGAAACAGTGAATATATTTACCTTACTCTGACAGCTCAACATTCTTGCCTCCAAAAATCATTCACTAACAGATTCTATCCTAGAATCTTATTTCATTCTGCATATCCAAAACATATGAATAAGAACTAGTGTGCTGTTTTCAAAATACCAACAGAAACCCAACAGCAAACCTTGTATCCTCCATGAAAAAGTTTCTTGCTGTTCACATTAAACCAGAATATTCCAGATTTTTAACCATTAAAAAATTTCCAATCTTTAGATAGGTAAAATACTCAAATATACAGAAAATTTCATTTTAATTGTGATGGATTCAGCTCCTGTACTAGAACATTTTCAAATACCAAACATGCCAAACAATTACATTTTACCGGGCATAACTATTCATCTGGATATATTATTTTGCCTAGGAAAGAGAAGAGAGTTTTCCATCAATTCTGTTTAATACCTGAACCCAAATTCCATTATTCACTCAGCTCTATGTGGGGTTAATACAGAAGTAGGTCATGTACTGGGTGTAACAGAAAAAAGAAAAAAGGAAATGTATTTATGTGGCCCTAAAAATAACAGAATATTCTGTGCTAAAACAATTCTTTGCTCTAAATCCCCTTAAGGATAAGGAGCTGTAGCCAGTGGTTGCTTTTGGTTTTTACTCACAGAGAAAGGAGGCTCTGTTTGTACATACCCAGAACATTTTTGGTGGTAGAAATATGGTCTAGTAATTTCTTGGAGGGTGTCCTGACTTTCACATACGCTGCATAATGACCACCTCTCATTGACCCACTGTGCTCCACTATTCCGTAAAGGCTGTATAGCACTCTTGCACCATCTGTAACATTCTGCATTCCCAGAAACACAGAAAACAAAGATACATTATTTCACAATGAATTTTACAGGTATCTTAACTAGCTATCAGCAGTATTACTTTAAAAGAAGCAGACAGACATCTACAGCATTTCCGTGGTGAAATACATCTATTAAAAATACTCAATAGTCTATTAATTGAATTTAGTAACCATGGAAGCAGCAATACTTGTCCTTAATGCTGTTAGACACACTAACACCATCAGGGCACCATAGCTTAACTGATACTAGTTAACATCCATAATATTCTTGATAGGAATGGAATTTCAATTAATTACAGTTCTGACCTTGGGATACTATTTGAAAACATTCACGCTATAATTTCTCTAGGAAAGCAAGGAATAAACAACATCATCATCATCAATCCAGCTTAACTTGTGCTCAGGACAACAACTGTTGAAGTACAATAAAACTAAAGATTTGAAATGAGTACCTTGCAAGATGCAGAACAAAATGGTGCCAAGTCTAAAATCAGTGGGAAATCCACATGCCTATTTACTTTCCGTAGACTCAAGCCAGCCTTCAAAAGAAAAGAAAAAAAACCCAAACCACTGTAAAATAAATATTTTTACTAGGAAGCTTTTTAAAGCTAAGGTGTATTACTATACTATTAAAATAAACCAAAACCAAGAATAGGATTGTAACTGATTTAAACATTCTTTGTTATATTTTCAATACAGTGCCTGCTACACATAATGGACACATAAGAGGTTTCCCTGGATACATGTGAATGGCTAAACACACTCTGAAGGTATTAGACAGTCAAAAAACCACAAGCATGTTTCAAATAGTGGTTCTACCAGTTCTCCGTATAAAAAACAAGTATCGGTATGCACAACGACACTTAACGAATTCCTTGTCCACCAGTGGGGCAGAGGAATATACAAGAGGGTTTTGGCCTTTTACCTGGTGGAATCTTTTCAGATGGAGAATAAGAACAGCAGGAACTGAAGAAATCAGCAGCTGTTTCCGAGCATTTGTGTAGACGCCTTCCATTTTCTTTTCTGTATTTATGGATATAAAAATAATTTGTAAAGTGAGGGCAGTCACACAGCATTTCAGTTTTTTTGTTAAACATCTGACAAAATAGATCTATGTTGCAATGATTTTTTACGTGTTATATAAAATGCAAGGGTAATTTTGTGGAGTAACAGAAACATATTTTTCTCATTTTTCTAGTTGTTAGTAAACATAATCTGCCAAATCTGGGCATTATTTTAGCCTGTCCTGTGCAAATCAGACCAAAAGTTGGAAGCACGTACACTATCTAGGTCAGCTTGCACACTGAGATACCTACATCGTCTGTTACTATAGCACCCAACTTTCCTGTTAAAACCATTTCACCTTAGTCCTAACCACTAAGACTAATTTTCCATTCTTCACTTCTTTCTGAATGACTCCGCACTTTTGTGCTTATTTCAAAGAAAGGTCTGAGGAGGGGTGTCGACTTCAGGATGCCTCATAACCTGGTGGCTCGAGCACACAGGACTGGGAAATGTGGACTCCGATCCCCCTGTGGTGCAAAGCGAATCGAACCCGGGTCTCTAACCAAAACTAGCTCAGTGGTTACCAATACAGTGAAAGGGAACATGCCACTGGCATTTTTTTCAGTGAAAAAAATTAATTTACTGATTTTACACATGTCCAAAGGAAAATACTTAATTTGAGGTAGAACGGAGCATTTCATGTAAAAGTAGATGACTTCTTACATCTTTTGGTTTAGAAGGAAAAAAATTATTAATGATTATTGTAAACTGATTTTCCTTTTCAATTTTTCACTGTGGCCACGGAACCAAAATATTATTTATATAGCACTTACTCTCAGTCCAATAATGATAAATGAATTATTATAAAATACTATTTTTAGATTAATTTTTCTGAATTTACTCATGCTTAACTTGTATCTCTCCAGATATCTATAAATGCACAGCAAACAGGCACTTTTTTGTTACTGTACGACCTCCCTTTATATTTTATTGACAAATAATCGGAAGACCTTAATTTTTTTATCCTTCTGAATCACTATATATATATATATAAAAAAATCTTCCAGTCTTTTTTAAAAGTTTATTCTTCATTATATTGTTCTTAACTCAGTGAACCCTAGTGTTCTGCTTGGGCTACACAAACATCAAGGAAAACATTGTCACAAGAAGGTGGTTCTCTCTCATCTCCATTCTTACAAAGCTTTGTTAAGTTTTTTTTTCCCCACTCTTCATTACAAGTGTCTTTTTTTTGCCCCTCTTACATACCTGATTACATTACTTCCCTGAGTATGTAAGTTGCTAGAGCTGAATATTACAGCATTTATTTCAAAGCTTCTAGGATTGTAAAGAACTGAAACAGCAGCAAAGAGTAGTATCGAATGATGAGCCTATTCAGTTTACGGTCATCTTTAAATTACTTATCTTGGATAAAATAAAGATGCAAAGTAAATTCTAAGTTACATCTATGGTTATGTTCTAATATAAAATTTAGTGTTGTTGCCTTTGCAGGATGAAGTTTTAAGCTGTTAGTAGCCAAGTTCTGCTCGGGAAGACACGTTGTATTTAGCCACAAGGGGGAGGCCCATGCTGGAGCAATGAAACTGGTTTTGAGAGGCAATTTTGTAGTGTCCAGACAGATACAAGGACTTTACCTGTGGAGTTGGTTTTCTTCTGATACTTCTGCTTCCTTTCTGTGCAGCTCTCACATAAAAGCTTGTTGTTCCCCATCAGGAGCTCTACAGAGGTGAATTGGTAAAGGCAGGACTGAACAGAACATTCCTTTGAGCTAGTTATGTAGCTTTGGGAAAGTGTCTGAAAAGCATTTTGAGGGTTTTGGGATAGTGGGGATTTGTCTACTGAGAACATGGAATTATTCGATAAACCTAAGGCTGGATCCCCACGGCTTGACTTTTTATCTTCATTTATAGTATCACAGAAGCTGAGTTTGGATATGGCACTGGAAATCATCTCATCATTACTGTCACTTGGTTTGGTGTGTGGCATTTTAACATTTATGTGGTTGACGTGCAAACCAGGCGTGTTGCCGGATGGGCTGAAAGCTGATTGCTTAGAAGCACTTTCACTTTCTGAGGCTTCACTGTCTGCATCAAAGCTGCTTTCAGAGCGGCTGGCTTCCTTCTCACTGCCGTCCGTCTGACTTCCATTTACAGTGGAGTCAGCAGTCGTGTCTTTGGAGTATGGGACGCCAGAGCTACCTTCCAGCTCAAGCTTTTTGGTTTTTTCCTGCATGATAACAGGACTTCTTTCTTCTTCATTCGAGGAAGCTTTTCTGGCAAGCCGTCTCTCCTGGTTCAATTGATTCTGTAAATTATGACGTTGTTATTTCAGTAATATATGGGAGAAACAGAAAACAGATCTGTGATCTAACATAGCTTTTGAAACATGACACATTCAAAGCAAATTAAACCTATTATTTTATATTTTCCATCTCTCACATGTTTAAGCTACTTGATCTCCTTAAGATCTTTTTAAACCAGTTTAGGATTAGAAACCTACACCCCCGTCAGCTAAGAGCATTATACTTACTGTGAGATCAATACTTCCCACAACTAATTACATTCACTTTGTGACAGCTGTGGATGGCACATCTAAAGTGGTACTCAATCTAACTTAAGCTTCTAAAAGGTTCTCAAGTTTAAGCTAGTCCCCTAGCCTCCCATCAGATGGGCAGCTCCAGAAGAAAATTCAACTCACCTTGTAGGCATTTGTCTTAGAACTAAATAAAGCATCCCTAGTCATACGTTTGCTCATTTGTATATTATGAGAAGTTGATTTTTTTTATTTTATCAAGATTGCAAGAAGAAAAAAAAACCTTTGCTGCCACAGAAAACTACTACTGTAAATTAAAAAACAAACAAACAACAACCAAAAAAAACCCCTTAAAGCTGCCGTGATTTTAAGTGATTTATAAGTACTCATGATTCTTTTCTTTCTTTTTTTTTTGGCTTCTTTCCAAAAGAAGTGAGCAATTTTCCTTCCTCTGTGCTTTTTTCCTTTATCTAAGCTGGATCAAAATTCCAGTGATGCCCGTGGGAATCCTTCCACTCACTTCAACGGTTTGAGTTTTAGGCCTTTTCTCCTGTAACAATCAGTGTCTGCACTTTCTTTCCATCCTTTGTTTTGTTTCCAGCACATGTCCTTTTCCTACTTCTATCTCATTCTCTTCTCCTGTCAGTTTTTTATATGGTTATTCAGTTATATTTTTCCTCACATGTATTTAGTGTGTTAGGACCTGTTTCAGGAGAGTATTTATGGTCCCCAACAGGGCACAGACCCAGCCAGTAGGGCTCACTGAGATACGAGGTAAAAGAATCTAAAATTGTATCATGACCCCATAACCTATAGCCTAGGCACATTCCTAATATAAGGCTTGAAATTCCCTCTGAGTCTCAGGAGCCCTGCACTTGTACCTTCCACTTCCTGGCATTAATAAGAAAACACCTTTTAAACACACAAAGTGACACACAGCAGGAGTTAAGCTCACATCAGTGCTCTCACAGAAAAACTATGCAAACTAACTTTCATAGGTTGCTTCAATAACAGGGAACCTAAGTGGATGGAAATAGCCGTCTGCACACCCGATTGTGCGCCCAAGCTGCAGCAAAGGTGTCATTTTAGACATGGCTTTGTGTTTAGTATTTCCTACTGACTACCTTTAGGTAGCTTCATATTTGGTAGAGAGGGTTTCTGGACTGGTTTTGTTTCGGATCCCACTCCAAGTCATGGGTACCAAAATGATGCTACAGGTAACTCCTACCTTACAGGTATTGAACTTTGTTCAGTCTATCCCTTAAATATATTCCATAGACTCAATTCATGAAGAATCCTCAAGAACATACTCAGTTTTAAACTTTAAGCAAGAACTTAAGTCCAAACGAAGTCTACGTGAAAGACAAAAAATATTCTTGGATATTTTCTTAAACAGGGATTAAACCAACACTTAATGTACAACTTTGTAATTCAAGTCCTTAAACTTATAAACAAGTGACCAGTTTAGCAAAAAAAAGAATAAAATCCCAATATAATTTTTTTTTTTTTTTTGTCTCAGTTAAGCTTGCTTGCTTTATAAATAAAGAAAAGGGAGAGGAACTTGTTTGAAACTACTGCTAGTATTCAGGGGTATTATGCCAACAGCAGTCAAAAAATTCTTAAAATTGTGAACCTCTCCATTTCAGGAGAAAAGCCCAACCCACTAGTGTTCAGGCACTCTGTGGCCTACGAAACCACCCACGGGACACCCCCATTTTCACAAGCAAACTTACAAACTGGTGAACTGATGTCACAGAACATCAACAAACACTGATTGAATTCAACCACTGTTTGGGATTAGAAGTTTTACTGCAGAACAGATAAATTACACTGAAAAGAATTCAAAAAAAGTCTAAAATAATGATAAATACATGTCTGAAAAGATGGAGGGGGAGCAGAGAATCACAAAGCCTCACCAATTAGACAGGCATACTTCGTAAGTCACTCTGTCCATTCTTATCGAAAGCAGAGTTATTGCTTCCTTTATATTTGTCTAATCTATTTTACTTAATCCATATTATATTTTATTAATTTTGAAAACATTTCAGTAATTGTGTGGTATGTATCACTGTTAACACTATTATTAAGATTCTAATTGGCCACATAACCCTATAAAGATGATAAGGCTTATTAAAAAGGAAACAAAAGGAACGTTAATACTGACAGTATATGACATACAATGACATTATACGGCAATAATGACAATGCGAGCCTTTGTCCCATTTCGTTAGCAAGAATATACATGCACAGTAATTATTACAGATTTCTTTCAATCAGCAAGCACTAATACATGTAAATAATCAACCCGGTGAGGCTGGCGTATTTGCAGAACCATTTTCTGGCACCAGAAAGAACTGTGTTACGAGGCTGCGCTGGAGACAGGCTGAACCAAGGTCCCCAGCCCTTGGGGTGCTGAAGGCCAAGTGGATGATGGAAACCGTGCCCTCTGTCTCCACGAGTCTCTGCTGGCTGTATTATTTTTGTTGCACCCACCGCCAGCTAATCCCTGGCATGGCACTAACACAGACTTGCCTGCTGTCTCAGCCAGCATTACAGTTCTTGTGATTGCAACCAGAAACAAACTATGAGGACACCAAAAGAAAAGCAGTCAACAAAGCCAAAAGCACCATGAACTGAAACCAACTTGCAGATTATTTTTTTCCCCCTTACAAACGAAAACCTGTAACTGAAAAGTGGATGGTTCCCAATGACTGTCATTTCTCACACTTCTGCTAATAACCTAGCTATTTTAAACCAAGTCTATCTCAGCTATATGTATACAAAAAAACCCCATCGATAGGTGTCAAAATTCCCACCCCTGTAGCCCCAGAAACTTCAGAATAAACTCAAGACAACTGGTTAGTGTGAGTATTTAAGTTCTTACCTTATCTTTTGTTAAAGCATGTTTCTTGAAAATTTTGGGTTGATTATTCAGTGTAGTGATAGAAGAACAGTTATACTGGCCAAGATCTGCCTCTTGTACACTTTTACCTTTACCTGTTCTTCCCAAAGGCACAGGTTTTGCAACCTAAGAAATTAGACAAGAAATTAGAAAAGGAAATAACGCCAATTTTGTATTCCTTCGCAACCTACAGAAAAGATGAATGTAGGTGGGTTTTTTCCTGTACTTTAGAAAAAGGTAACCTACATAAATCCAATTAACTGAATTGTGGTAGAAGACTACTTTCTAATTTTATTTATCATAAACTCACTGTCAGCATCTTTGAAGGATCACCTGAGAACCAGAAGAAATAGGAATGATACAAAATTCCTGTACAGAACACATACCAAATAATCTATTCTAGTATGGTATAAGCACGTGCGTCGCTGTACGAGATGTGAATTTATCAAAGGTCCCCATAAGTCAGTCTCTGGTGCCACTTGTCACCTTATGAAGGAGCTGCCACACATCCCCCATCACATTAACAGCAGCAGCATATTAGACTGTGCACCGACTACCATAAAGTAATGCACGTCCTCAAGTAAGGGCAGCGACTGCCAGCAGACAGCCCTCTGGAAGAGAGCCCATGAAGTTCCCACGCCATACGTGTGAGCTGGGAAGCACAGGGGCCTGGGTACTCAAAATGCTCTTCAACGTTTAACTCCCACAGACATCTGCACTCTATGCAGCAACGAAGAGGAAGAGTTTATTATGAACGAAACTTGTGTTTGGAGACAAGAATATTTTGTACATGATTAAATATTTCATTAGATACTCACCCTTAAATGTACATGAATATATTTGGGGGGGTGGCGGAAGAAACACTCCCAACCCATCGCCCCCCTCCCAAATGAAACCCCCAATTCATGCAAAACCAGAGTATACGCCTTCAAAGGAACACAGTTCCTCTGCAGCTAATGGAGGCATTCTGTGAACTCTTTATGCCAAAAACACCAGAATAAATACGTTCAAAGTCTATCCATTTTTACACTGTCTCATCCTGTAGGTACACTTCAGTCCAACTCAGTTCTCTAAGTGCAAATCGACAGGCTAAAATCTAACTCTCTGGACCTTCACAAAAAGTCTATCATCATTCTATTCATGTAAGTGTATACTAAAAATACTACTAAACTAATCTCAGACCTACATATATTGTAAATTACTATGCTCATTTGTTCAAAGTTTGGACAGATTTAAAATATATGCACTTATGACATTGTATGCCTATATGTATGTATATGTATATATATACATAATATCATATAATGAACACACAGTATGACAGTGGACAAGCATACATTCTTAGACTCGAAATCAAAACTGTGTATACATAAACATCTTCATAAAGGTATGTAAAAACAATCCGCTGGAAGCAATAGTTATTTATTACATATTCTGTTTCTTACCCTCTCCTCTATTATAGGAAGTGAAAGATCAATGAAAGGTTCTTTTACTGTTGAAATCTTGAAGAAAAAGAGAAAATGCATATTAAATGCAAAGAACATTATATGAGTTTAGCATATAGCTCCTCTTGTTTAATCAAATTGTTACCAGAAACTATACAAAAAGCTAATTAGTTACAAGATGTATCAAACTACAATGAAGAACTTCACACAGACTTTTTTTGGTTTTTAATTTATTTTAAGTTAGCTCTGATTTTCTTGCTAACACTGCACAAAATTTCACCACAGAGACATAAAGGCAAGGCCATTCATCTGGGCACGAACTGGACCCAGAAGCAGTGTGGTGCTCAGTTCCTCTGAGCTCCAGAGAGATTTTCAGGTCCTGTGGGCTGTCTAGATGGTACAATTCTGCAGAAAGCTAACTTTCAGAGTTTCCTGATCCTGGACACTTGTCTATGTAGGCATTTGACCTCGTATACTGTTAAGCAGCAAGGACTGGTTAATGACAGTTAGATGACAGTTTCTAACCTGATGCTCTCAGAAAAGATTAAGGCAGGCTTACTGGTTACAGCCAAAAGCTTTATTAGAATTTTTCACACCATAACATGTTCTAGTAATTGTTAGAATAAACCAAATTACTGGGGAAAAGGGGATTGAAAAAAACCCCAACCTTCTTTTCTGTACTAAAGTTTTATTTTGCCATCTGTAAGCCATATAAAAATCTAAGCTGAAACTGGAAATACCTGGCAAAGCATACCTAAAGACATTCTCTCTCAGCACTTCCTATCTGTCTTTATGACTAGACCATCTCATCCAAGCCTGTTCCTCAAGCTCTCTCCCTTGCCATTCTCAAATTCCTTCCAAAACTGACTTATTTTACCTCTGGAAAGACTGTGAAAAACAAGACCTTAAAAAAAAAAAAAAATCATGTTGTACATATAAGTTACCGAACACAGGCATGCCCTCAATTACTGTCAGCGTTGCCCTTCTCTTATATTTGTGCCTCTATCTTCCACCTGCAACGTTAGATATGGACTGTAGGCTTACGTCTACCTGTCATGTGAGAGACTCAGCATGGTTTAGGTTCCAGGAAAGCAATAAATGAGATAAAAAGCTATTGTAACTATGGTGACTGACTGCCTGATGAGCGATGTTCAAATGGGTTCCTCTAAAGAGTGAGTCGGCATGAGCAAACTTCAGTCAAAAATGTCTTTGCCAGTGCAGGCAAAGGAAAGCGAATGCTAAACTCTTCCTACAACTAGCAAATTCCCAAGTCCTCTGCAGGCAGAATATAAGGATCCAGCAAAAATAAATGATATTCGCAAAATACATACAACCTCTATTTTTTTATATAGTCAAAGTTCTTCATTGATACTAGTTGCACATTGAAGTGTAATCTGCACATCACACACAGGGAAGTTTACCTGGCACTGCAAAGCTGTGATTAATTATTCAGACTGATTGATTTACTTAATCTCTATAATATGAAATATAATGTTTTAGAGTAAACACAAATGTAACATTCAATTAGAGAAGTCATGCAAATAAGATTTTTCTCTTCCAAAGTTAAAGAAAATTATAAGGATCATGGAAAGCATTTATGATGAAATGTCAGTAATATTAATTATGAAAGGAATATGCTCATTAGAGTTATTACATTAATTATAAAAAATACTTCAAGGAAAAAAAAGTAATTTTAGCATTTCCCCACTCATACTAATGCAAGGTAAGTAATTTCCAATTTTCAGGTATATCCCAGAACAGCAGGCAGGAGGATTTATGTTCTAAGTTCGATAGGTCTTTTAAAAATATCAAATAAAATTGGGGCGTAACACAGTTGATTACAGAATTTGGAACCTCCAGCCTTAAGTTAGATGTAAAATCAAGCCCAGTACTTGAATCCTTTTTGAATTCAAAGGATCCCTCTTCTTAGGTTTGGGAGGATAATGCTTTAAAGAAGGAATAAATCATTTTTAAATGAGAAACTTTCAATAAAGTCTTGTTTTTACAGACAAACAAACAAGTATAAAATTGGCAATACAATTTTATACTTTCAAGACAACGTAATCAAACCAGAATGTGATCTATTCCACATCAAACCAAATTCCAGAATACCTACATTTTCACATTCCTCACACATGACAGTGCTAGTCAATTCACCAACAAAGATCCTATCTATGAAGTTCATCTTCACACCCTCTCTTCCATATGCTGAAAAAACATTGCCTTTTTTAAATGTGAAAAATAACAGATCCAATGCCACACTATAAGTATAACACAATTCTTTCTACAATTTATTGTGAAAGCACAATTTTAAACACATTCAAAATGTTTTGAACGCAATACAATAACTAACACATCATATACTATATTATCTCAACATTTAAAAACATTTTAGTGATACGGTCCCCTTTTATCCTTCCCCACCTACAGTAACAGAATAATAGTACTGTATCTCTCAAGAGGAAGTCTTTTAAAAAAGATCTCAGTTTTCTTTTGAATACATAATATTGCATTGCCTTAATATAGACAGTAGGGTAGCAGACAGGTTGTCATCCTTTCTAAATGGTTTTTGAAGCAATAAAACTCTAAAAAATGAAGCAAAACCCTGCTCTAATACATCTCTATGCCTTAACTGTTGCAGATTTGGGAAAGGTGACTTTCAAAACAGCTTAATCATTACTAAGACTTTAATTAAAACAAACCCCCCAAAATTAGAATTTTTGCATAAAGACACAAAAAGATAAAATTTAATTAAAACCCTTTTGTTTTGAAAAAAACATCTCTTTGTTTGAAACAGCTTCCTATCTTGGCTTTCTAATCATATTTATCAGTGAACTGACAGAAAACAGTTTTATTTATGGTAAGTGGCCTCTCTGAGTGATACAATCATTGCAGCTATATAACAAACCTGAAGATGCAAAAAACTATTTTAGAAAACAAAATTATATTCTACCTATCATTACAAGAGGCATCATATTAAGACAGGGGAAGGCTTTATCCTGGATACAAAGATGCAAGTCAGTACATACTAAGCTCTCTATATGTTAGATACGCGCTAGGTGGCACTAGAATAATACGTAATAAAAGTCTTGTAACTGGTTACAGTACTTTGAGATTGCCGTTTGCAAGTTAGTTTTGAAGAAAATGGTATTTAAAAACTTAGGCATTTTTAAAAGTATTCAATAAAGAGTTGCCTACCTTTGACTTTTCTTCTAGTTTCTTCATCTGCTGTCTTAGTAGTTGGATTATTAAATGCTTTTAAGATACCAGTTTGTATGCGCTGTAATTAAAAAGAAAAAAACAAAACATCGTGAGAGTACTTTAAGTGTAAACATTCTGAAAATTATTAATATATGCTTAGATTTTATCTACTCTTATTTCCATAAAATAAGCATAATTTAGTATTTTAAAATGACTGTTGTTATTCACTAAGCATCAAAGCTACATGAGCTTAACTTTTAGTAGGTAACCATCCAAAAATTCCCTCCCCATAAAAAGGGAGCTGTCGTAGAGCACTCAAGAAGTTCTCAAGAAACTGTAAGATTTTTTAGTCAACAAATACTTTCCTTTTCTTCCACTGTTGGAGGGGTGAGATGCTGAAGAAAAATGGACTATTACTGACTGACTAGGATACAGAATACTGCAAGGCGGCTAAGTATCTTTCAGTAGCCAGACTTCAATGCCTGTGTTTGGGCAGTGCTTTTACTACTTCTGTTTATTTTCTAACACTCCATGTTTCAAAGTTACGTTAGAAAACCTTAGGAGAGATACAAAACTTTTCATGAATCCATATAATTGTCATCAACATGTGATCAAAAAAAAATCCTGAAGACTACGTTTTTGAAAGAAGAATCAGAAGCAAATTCATACAGGCGAGCTGTAGCTGCACCTCAAAACAGGGGGTGCTTCTCTCCCTGTCCCCCCCCATGTCTCAGCTGCCCTGGGCTAAGGAGATGCCGTATTGCCGAGAGGGAAGCCGCAGGCTGCATCAGGTCCTCAGCCAGGGAACGCTGCAGCGTGCATGACCTGCGTTTCCCTTTTGCTTTGCTCCCTGATCCACAGACTCTAGTAACGCGTATGACTCACTCATGTCAGCGTGCAAATGACATTTACAGTGACATGTGTCACTGAAGTCACACTTAAAGCGAAGTCCATTCTAGAGACAAATGGTGACACCAAACCTTCTGCAAGTAACTCAAACCCTGTGTCCTAACAGGAAAAGAATAATAAGTAACTCTTGTTTGCAGGCAGCAAATAACACTTTCAAACCATCTATTACAAAAGTGTTACGAGGACAGACAGAGTCCGAGGTTGGGTTTCCAGTTCAGGCACCCATCAGACCAAGTCACACTCTTACCTTATGAGCATGTGACCTGGCTTGTGAATTAACTCCCCCTGCCCCGAGCTCAGCTTTGTTCATCTTAAAGCCAACAATATACTAAAAGGACTAATCAATAGGTAATTCATGAAGTTGAGCACCATAAATGGGTTTAGGGCCATAAGCAAGCCTTTTGTTGGGATTAGTGCGTTGAACCATTTATTTAGGTCAAAGAAAGACATAGTCTTTGAATGGACAGGGTGCTGCGGACAATGGCAGCAGACATTAATCAATTAGCAGCAGGGTTCAGCCACTTCAGGCCCCGGTGTGAAACCATCTCCGGCCCACATTGCTGGAAACAGCAGACGCTATGTCATCTTTATTGCAGTATCAACAAGCTTTTATCTTCAAAAATCCACTTGTGCACATACGCACTTTCTAACTTTTTCTAACGTGGATAGGAAAAAGTTCAACACTGGTGTCGGAAAGCCTTATTATGAGGTACAAAACCAGGGAGAAGAGGCAAAAGTAGAAGGCCATTTTTTGTTAGTTCCTGTAAGCAGTGCCATGTTATGTATCGTATCTATTTCCCATCAAAACTCTTAGGGTTTAAAAATAATTAACGGCCACATTCAGCTCTCTGGCAGGCGGATGGCAAAGCAGGCGGCTGCCCTTTCAGCACGGCTGTTCCCTCTTCCGAGAGTAAAGTTTAAAAGTGGGGTGAAAGAGAAAGGTTGGTGGCTGTAACCCCTGCTCCAGGACCTTGGTGGCGGACGCGTTGGTGCAGGCAG